AGCTGCTGGTTTTAATCAGAATCAGAATAAGTCCAGAGGGAAATTGCTTTTGCTACATGCTCAAGTTACAGTTATATATATATAAATATATCCAACTAAAGAATAAGAATATGGAGGAACTGTTGTCCACACGGGCCCCCTTTAACCCTAAAAGTAGACCTGCTCAACCGCCAACTGTTTTAATGCACAGCTTTTGCACGGCTTTTGATAAGTCTACAAAGCTAAGACAGTTGCCGAGAAAAGTCCTACATTCAGCTCTGTGAATTGCTGTCTGCTTCTCTGACATAGCTATTAGTGTGTCATAAAAAAAAAAAACTTAAGAAAAGCTGAGTTTCTTTTTTTTTTTTCATAATGTGGAATCTAAGCCCTGCAGTCATTGCACAACTCCAAAAAGATACCCTTTTAGCTTTTCACCCTCCTCCGAAATAACATGGCCCAAACAACAAACTTATTTCTGCACCCGCTAAAATTTGTATAACTAGTTTATACTTTCCTTTGCTTCACATTCTAGCAGATATTGTTTTATCCTTGGCCTGTATTAGGAACTATTTCAACTAAATCTATAGTTGTCAACAGTCTTGCATCAATTCTTCTTGTAGACCACAAAGTATTTGGAATATCTTTGAAATCATTTTCATCAAATTGTGATAGCAAAGAATGCTGAGTTATTATAACACATGCTAAATCTTGAACCTGGGGTTTTACATTGAACAGAATTTTATGAGGCTGTTTCCATAGTTCTGTGTTATGGCTATAAAGCCAGCCTGGTTTGTGTGGTGCGGACATAGATAGAAATCAGATGCGCCTTCTGCAGCTTCTAAATGCAGGCCTGTGTCTCTCCACTGTGCTTCACTGGTCTTAACCAATTACAAATGATTTACCCATGATAAGCAGTACATTCCTTACATCTGTGTAATAACAGTAACTGCTGCTAAGAACCCCCATCTATGTACATAATTTGTGTCGCCATTATAGTAATGTCTTGTTTCAGAAACTGTTTTGCACAAATTCAAAGTGTTCTACTGTTCAACTAACAGACTTTCATCCTGTGGATCTGACAATGTGCTTCTAGCATAGTGCATATAAACACAAGAAGATTTTGTTGAAACGCTATTTATATGTTCTCCACATTCAGCCTTCATGCCACCCTGTTTGGGAAAAATTGCTTAAATTTTCCCATCAATTCCCATCCTAACAAATTAATGTGGTTAGTTGGTGATATTACTACAAAAACATGCAACCTTGCAATCTTTTTCCTAATCCTTTGACATCCACTCCTAGGATGTTTGACCATTTGCTGGTTTTACAAAAACTAGCATTTTAGATGGTTTTAGTCCTACATTATCTTTAATGCAAATTTTACAGGCTCCTGAATTGCATATAAGTCTAACTGTTTGTCTAATAATTGTTAAAACTATTCATGTTTTTGCCTTTAATGCATTTAATATCCCCCATGCTTCATACACGTCTACTATTTTAATGTCTCCCCCATTTGCTCAAACACCTATTCACACTCAGATGAAGAACTTCCCCTGTGGACTCTGTCTTCCTGGTCCCCCATTTACTCAAACACCTATTCACACTCAGATGAAGAACTTCCCCTGTGGACTCTTCCTTCCTGGTCTGCTTTTACTGGTCTGGGCTGAAAGCCCCCTTTGAAGTTCTAGAACCGCCCCTGCATCCTTGATGCCTTTTGAAATTTCACATGTTTTCGTTAATGCAACAATTTCTGCTAGCTTGCGCAGAATATGATAATTTTAAAGCAGCACTGTAAAGAGTTTTTTTTTTTTTTTTAACTCATCTACAATTGTAAAAACAACTAATTTCTTTTTGGAAACTGACACATCCACATACAAATTTTTATAACCCTCCTGTGGTTCATCTTTTATATCTGAACGCGGCTTGCAACTCATAGTTGTTTTTTCAACACATTGGTTTGGGTCACCATCTTCCGGTGTGGGCCGCAAGGTTGAGGGATTTAAAGAATTACATCTCTGAAGCGTGAGGTGAGGCTGAGACAGCAAAGTGGTCATAATATTTAGATGTCTGGCTGGAGACATAAAAGTCATTTTTGCTAATGTGACCCACAGTTCCACTGCATGAGGTATTAACAAGGTCAGCGGATGATACAAGACAATTTCAGATGGGCTCTGCACAGCTAGAGCTGCAGCACAAACTGATCTTACGCAGTGTGGTGGGGCAGCTACAACTGGATCTAATCTTTTGGAATAAAATGCCACTGGCCTCATTTTTCCCCTTGTTTCTGCATTAGCAGAGAGGTCATGAATTGTCCCCTGCAATCCACTGCTTGGATAAATGGTTTAGAATAATCTGGTAGTGCCACTACAGATTGCAATCAGGTCCTTTAGTTGTGAAAAAGCTGACTCTGCAGTTGGAGTCCACACTATTTTATCTATCATTGCCATATCATTTGTATAAATGAGATCAAGCAGTGGCTGAGTAACCTCAGCATAATTGGAAATCCATGTCCTACAGTAATTACACAAACCTAGAAAAGCCATCATTTGCTTTTTAGTTTTAGGCTGTGGAGCGTTCAACACCCCCTTTTTCCTGTATGTAGCTTGCATGACTAAAATAATTTTTTTGTGGGTTTATTAATTTTAAATTTTGGTTCCGAAATTATAGTTTTGGAGACCCTGCAGACGCATTAGGAAGGCTGTCAATTAGAACAATGCTGCAGCCATCGCTCCAGTGACATCCCCCCTGCGCGCTTATGCAGATTTAAGCTGTCTCCCTCTAAACTGTGTTTCATTATTTTTTGGACACACAAACAACTTAAAAGACCCACAAACATAACTTTAAAGACAGAAACACATAAAATTAAAACCGGACAAACACAGCATTAGATCTATTTATTTAGGTTTTCATCGTATCTACTTTGTGCATGTATCATACTTACACCTCACCATTTGGAGCTTATCTATTTATTTATCTATTTATTTATTTATTTATTTATTTATTTATTTATTTATTTATTTATTTATCTATTTTTCACTAGTGCTTGTTTTTAGCCGGCACATAACATTTCTCCATTGATCTACTTCCACTCCTACAAGTATTTTAAATTACTTGAATCAATCTGACACAAACTTTACATCCCCTTTATGATCTTCTCTATACTCTTCCCTGAACCCATCCTTTTTAATTCTTTTACCTCCCTGACTCACTTTAGTTCTATTTTTTTTATCCTTTAGTTCTTATTATTTTATCTTGGAATAGAGGCGTCCCTCAAACCCATATTTTTTCCAAACTATATATTCAAGTGATAATTTTTTTTGTTGGATCCTGCACTTCTACGACTTCTAATCGTAGATTCTGAGTTATCTCTAATTTATTTTGACCTTTTCCCATTTTAAAGAATTTAGTCCAGTACAAACACCTAGGGTATTCTATGCACTGGATGTTCATTCAGCAGGACAGCACCCAAACACTGTTGTGGTAATTTCTGCTTCTACATTTTCAGGTGAGAAATTCTTGCCTCTGCATCCACAAGAGTTATACTGTATTGATTTCTGCTGTTTTAGTATGAAACAACAGAACCTGAAAGGTTCGATTGTATCCTCACACACTTTCACACAGTCACACACACCTATTCTAAGGCCTAATATATTTTTTTTATTTTAACCAACATAGACAAAAAAAACAGCTATCGTTACGTGTACACTTTGGAGTCTCCAACTCCAGGCCCTCGCACGCACTGGATACCCAGATGCCGTATCTGTGAAATATCCCTGCTGCGGCAGCTGCAAACCTTACTTAGCTGTGTTCTTATCTTAAAAGAACACAGAGGTTCCCACACCCAAACGCACAGAATACCGATCCCAGATCTATCACAACAAAACCCTGTTTGTCAAATATTCTTGCGACTACAACCAGTTATAGCTTGAACACAGAGGTTCCCAGACCCAAACGCACAGAATACCGATCCCAGATCTATCACAACAAAACCCTGGTTGTCAAATATTCTTGCGACTACAACCAGTTATAGCTTGAACACAGAGGTTCCCAGACCCAAACGCACAGAATACCGATCCCAGATCTATCACAACAAAACCCTGTTTGTCAAATATTCTTGCGAGTACAACTAGTTATAGCTTTCACATGGTCCCAGACCAACTTTTGATCAAAAGCTTTAGGCCTACCCTTTGTCGTGCAGATCAGTCCTCAGCTTGAGTCGTCACCAGGATGCCCAGGGCAGGGCTGGACCAACCTATTGGCTACTGTCAACAGTTTTTTGGCCTTGGTCCCGCACGGTCCTGGACAATTGGATCTTGACTCCCGAGGTTTTCGGCACCAAAAATGTTGGGGTTTAAATCCAGAGAAATGTGAGTTTAAAAGATTAAGAGGACGAAATGATCAAACACAGACAGGGATGTTGTCAACCTCTGCACAGGGGAGAGAAGCTGCTGGCTCAGAAACAGCACCTTTTTTCTCAAATCCCTTCACAGCAAAGCCTTTTATTAACAGTTTACAACATAATAGGGCAGGCCTTAAACAGAAAACCCAGTAATGATTATCTGGCAGGATGCAGGTCATAGGATAGTGTGAAATGACCATCTGGCTGGATGGAAGTCACACAACCGTGTGACTCTGCCTCATGAGCTACTGGATGCAGGTCATAAAAATTGAATCACAGGATAGAACCAGAACCAGAATGTTTCATATGCCCACACATTAATTTTATAATTATCACTCTAACAATGACCCTTCCCTTCACATGCAACCCTGATACAAAACTGCTAGACTTTCAAAATAAGACTCCAGTAACCCTACAAAATAAAAGGCAAAATGATACATATTTTCGTATCGCTCCCATTTCTTAACCATTTAAAGTACTAACATGAAACTTGGTATAGAACATCTTCAGACCCTTCTAGCACTCACATTGAAGGAATTTTTTCAATATCATTCATGGTTTAACAGTTTAGCTGACTTGTTCGGGCATAGCAAAACCTCGATTCTGAGAATAATCCTCATACTCTCTAAACACATCACCACCAGAGTGAGTTGTGAAATTCTGTGAGAAAGAAAATAAACGGCTGACAGGATGGCGCACACGGGATACGCAAGCGTTACTCTACCGAGAGACAGGAGGAACATCGACTGACTGTGGACCATCTGCAGAGTGTCTGCAAGCAGAAGGTTAAACAGGAGGAGATAACGAGAAGTCTCTCGAAACACTTCTTTACTTCTTAGTGTAAATAAAGTGATCAGATTAATGAAGAGAAAAACGCAGCACGGCACGGTTGTCACAAAAAAAGACACCGCCAGGTGCAGGAGCCCCAGGTGCTGCAGCTCAGCAGTGCTGTTTCCTTGACTTTTATGAATAAACATTTTTACCAGTATTTAGAAACACTTGCATTTGAAATACGACATTTCAATAGTACAATTACACCTTTGGTTCATAAGGCTAAGGGAAATCAACTTCATTCAAAATGTACCATCATTCCTTCCTATGGCTGGACCTTCTTTCAATGCACTATTTATGTCATCTTCAGAGACACCTGTAGCCACTACCCTGTTGTCAAGCTCAGCTAATGATTAGCAAAGGGCTGCGATGAACCCACTGAGGACATGGTGAGGCAGAACCTCTGAACTGATGGGGACGGAATATTTTCAGGAACAAAGTTGGAGGAATCGGGGTTTTTTACTCATGCGCTCTTGTTGTCATAGAACCGAGCCAGGGAAAAACTGAGCCGAGCCCACCTCGGGAACTGGTCTCCACTTAGCTCGGTTTGGTTGTTTCTAGCTCGGTTTAGTTCAGTTTGTTTTCCATTTACACACGATAAGTTATCTCAGTTACTGAGCTTTGACCGGTCAATGTTTCTAGTAACTATAACTAGTTACTCTATAAAGTAAATACTCCTCCTTTATATGCAGTGTGGCGACTGTCAAGATTTGGTTGTGGTCTGTTGACCCAAATGCAGAGGCAAGGTGGCAGAGGTGAATTTCTTGATGATTTAATGAAAAGGTAAACTGAATACAGAGGCAGGAAATCCTAATATGAAAAAACAAAGCCCAAACAAACAGGAAACCAGGAATCCAAAAATCAAAACATGAAAACAAGTCAAATGAACCAGAAACCAAGGAGACATCAGGGGGATCACAATCACAAGGAGGTAGGCTCAGAGAGACGGAGTAGGAGGAAGTTTGATGAGGAACCAGCCCTGAGGAACTGAACAGAGAGTGTATTTATGGGAGACTGAAACAAAGAGAGGACTAACGAGGAGATTGGGAGCAGGTGTGAGCAGAGCAGAAACAAGTAAGGGGCAAGGGAAAAAAGGAGAACTCAAGAGGGCAGCAGAGGGCAACAAATAAAAACCCGAGAACTGAAAATAACTAGAACAACAAAATAAGAATTAAACAACTAAAACTAGAAAAACATTGAGTAAAGCAAAACTGAACATTCAAAGGAAAACATAACAGAACCAAGACTAAGACAGTAACCCGGAAAAAAACAAAGAACACAATAAAATAAGAATTAAACCATAAAAAACAGGAAAACAAGGAGCAAAGCAAAACTGAACATCCAAAAGAAAAACATAACAGAACTGGAACTCTAACAGCAGCAAGGAGACCCCAAAAACATGCAAGACAGGGGGACTTGCAGGACTTGATCTCTCATTTTTATATTCAAAGACTCCTCTTTGTAGATTGAATAAACTGTATTCCACATCTAAACGCTCAATGTTTACTAAAACTGCATGTTCTGTTTGTGCACATGCTCATAAAAATCCAACAATGTTTATTGAAGGAAAAGAGGATGCTGTTCCTGTAGGGAAGGGGTGTTTCTTTTCAGGATAGATTAAACTGATTGATCAGCTGCAAAAAGGTTTCCTGGATTGACTGACAGGCCGCTTCAGAACAATTTTATAGAACTCCTATGAAAGAAAAAAACAGATTCCTCCAACTTTGTTCCTGAAAATATTCCGCCCCCATCAGTTCAGAGGTTCTGCCTCACCATGTCCTCAGTGGGTTCATCACAGCCTTTGCTAATCATTAGCTGAGCTTGACAACAGGGTAGTGGCTTCAGGTGTCTCTGAAGATAACATAAATAGTGCATTGAAAGCAGGTCCAGCCATAGGAAGGAATGATGGTGCATTTTGAATGAAGTTGATTTCCCTTAGCCTTATGAACCAAAGCTGTAATTGTACTATTGAAATGTCAAATTTCAAATGCAAGTGTTTCTAAATACTGGTAAAAATGTTTATTCATAAAACTCAAGGAAACAGCACTGCTGAGCTGCAGCGCCTGGGGCTCCTGAACCTGGCGGTGTCTTTTTTTGTGACAACCGTGCCGTGCTGCGTTTTTCTCTTCATTAATCTGATCACTTTATTTACACTAAGAAGTAAAGAAGTGTTTCGAGAGACTTCTCGTTATCTCCTCCTGTTTAACCTTCTGCTTGCAGACACTCTGCAGATGGTCCACAGTCAGTCGATGTTCCTCCTGTCTCTCGGTAGAGTAACGCTTGCGTATCCCGTGTGCGCCATCCTGTCAGCCGTTTATTTTCTTTCTCACAGGATTTCACCACTCACTCTGGTGGTGATGTGTTTGGAGAGATACATAGCCGTGTGCTATCCTCTAAGACACAGCGTTGTCATCACCACCAGGAACACAACTCGAATTATTTCTGTTGTTTGGACTTTTACTTCACTAAATGTTATGGTTCAAATAATTATAATGTTTAAATTTTCTGTAGAAGACCTGGAGAACACTCAGATGACAGACTTTTGTGGAAAAGAGAGCATATTCTCTGATCCAGTCTCTGACCTTTACGACAGAGCCTCCACCTATTTCCTGTTTGTGTTGGGAGGCGTAACAGTCGTTTTTACCTATACTGGTGTCATTATAGCAGCTCGTTCAGCCTCTGCAGACAAAACTTCAGCCAGAAAGGTTCGAAGGACTCTGCTTCTGCATCTGCTACAGATGGGCCTCACTGTGTCTTCAACGGTACACAGCTCACTTGTGATGGTGATCTCCAAAAACCTACACAGGGTTGTAGCTGTTCAACTGCAGATTTTTCTCTATGTTTCTTTAACTATTCTTCCTAAATGTCTGAACTGCCTCATCTATGCTCTTAGAGACCAGACAATCAGGCCCATCCTCGTGCTCAATCTCAGCTGTCAGTGGAGAGGCTCCGGTTTGCTCTTTCTAAGAGAGAACTGAACGTAATAGTTAATATATTGCTGTGAGTTTTGCTTTAACAGCAACAGCCTGTGTACTTTTCTAAAATATGGTCATTAATTATTTCTTTGTAGTCTTTTCTTTTAGTCTTAGTGACCTTGAATGTAAAGGAAATTAGGTTAAACTTGTTTTCTCTTCCAACATTTAATTGAATTCAGTGATTAAAGAGCAGGATGTGATGCTAAGAGGTACAAGCAGAGGTGTGAATGGATCAGCTTGCTTCAGGGGAGTGGACTCAATGTTAGGACCTATCAGCCAAATCGTTGTCCAGTAAGTATGTGAGATCCACTGGAACACTGAATGCTTTGTAATTGGGTTTACAGTTGATTTTATTTAATTTTTATTAGTCAGATGACATAACTAATGCATCATAAGTACACAATAACAACAATCAGTAAAGATGGCTAAAAGAAACATCAGCTGAAGTTAGATTTGCAGTGTTTAACTAATTACATTTATCTTTAAACAAAAGAAGTTACAGAAAGAGGAGGAAAAAAATCCTCATCCAGTCATTTAACTGGTTAAACTATGCGGCATTTTCTTTTTCAAAAGAAATAGTGAATTACATGTTTTCTCCTTTATGTTAATGTCTTCAAGCAGAAGGAGGAATGATATTCATTATTATTATATCGATGCCTTAATTATTGCAAAATAAAAATGGTTGCTTTTAGAATGAAAGTTCAGCTTTCAAAATTAACTACAACATGCAACTCATGTTAATAAATATACTGTAAATCCCTACATTTGTTTGTTGGTTTGAGTCTGAAAAAGAATCTTAGGGGTGTAGAAAAAAAAAGTGTTTTCTAATCAGTGATCCAATAAACAATTCAGCACGATTATTTTAAGAAATGTGGCAATCTTTACACAATTATTTGTCTTTAGAAAAAGAGCTTGTGTTAACTTATCAACTTTATGTTTGTTCAAAATATGACTACTGGAAACAAGCAGCTCTGAGAGCTTCTTCATGTCCAAAATATTTTCCTTTTCATTTATTAAACAGCAGGAGGAGCTTTCAGTCCAAAAACAGCTTGTAATGTTGTTGAACATTAGGCTTTGTTATTTTTAATTTACATTTCTTTAACGTTTTAAAGCAGACAAGGAGAAAAAAATGGCTCCATACGTCACTGAGTGACTCAACCCCTTTCTAAGGAATATTAATTCAACATAATGACGACCTTTGTTCAGGTGAACACGCCTGGACTCGCTTACAACCAAATGAGGCTGAGGCGAATAAACAAGTTTACGAGAAGCAGTGATGAGAGCAAGGGTAGCTCTGTTCTCATGAACAGAAGTAAAGTAAAACTTTCTTAAATTAAGTGTATTTATCCTTAATTTGAGAAGGTAAATTAGATAGTTTGCCAGTGGAATGAGTGTTTTTACCCTTAAAATAAGATAATTACATAATATGCACTTGAAATAAGGCAATGCAATTGTGTTTTCTTATTTTAAGTGTAAATTGTCTTGTTGCATTGGAAAAATGTCTCTTTTTACCTACTCAGTCCAAAACAAATACACTTAATTAAAATTCATTATCTAGATTTCCATTTTTTTTTCCAGTGCAGGGAGGAAATCAACAAGGTGGGGAAACATCTGAACAGAGAATAATTACAGAAGTTAAACAGTCTTGAGCAGAAGGGTTTCTCTGCTCTCGTGACACAATATAAGATCAGATCAGAACTACCCACACATTGCTTTTAAAGCCCTTTCTACACAACATCTGCCATTCGCTACATGAGATGCATGATGACGTCTGAATAGCCCTGCTGCACGTGATTTGTGGGTCTGCAGGGACGTCCTCTGGCCTTTTCTGGTCAGCAGTGATGATGCCCTCTGCAGACCTGATTGTTTGTGGCCGTTTGGACCAGTCATGTTTTGTAAAAGAGCCAAAGCTCACAGTGATGAGTGAACGCAGGACAGAAAGAGGGATGGTGGTGGAAAGAAGAGGACCAGCACCTGCAAACTTCAGGACTTTCACAGACGGTTCCACATGGCAGAAATGACCTGCATAAATGACCAATTTTGAGTAGTTACTTTAAAAAAAGAAAATATTTATGTCAGTGTTAAATTTTGTTACACAGTGAAATAAAGACTTCATCTTAAAATGATTGCAATTTAATGTTAAAATTATTTGAATTAGATTTTAGTTTGTCTTATTGCGATATGGTTCAGAGCTGTTGACGTTACCATCATGCATGACCTTCATTTCCAAAGGATTAAAATTAAAAAGAAAACATGGAACAGAAGAGAACCATCCAGAAGAGCATGACAAAACAAAAATATTCCAAGAGAACATCAACATCTCATCCAAAGGTCAGAGGAAGGCAGCTTTTTGGAAGGGTCTAGTCAAAGTCTGGAATGAAATGCTGCAAAAATAAGTAGACCATAAACTGGATTTGATTTATTCATTTCCCATTTATAAATAAAAGAATCATTTTTTATTATTTTTATATTTTTTATTTTCTCTGGTTGTCTTTGACATGAAAAAGGGGAGGACATATGTGAGGGTGTGAACACACCGAAGAAAATAATGGAACTGTTTTTGGCATTTACTTAATCATATTTATTTACTGTAACACAATTGTTTCAGGGTAGGACATAAAACAATAGTGTTAAAGTAACTAAATATGATTAAGTAAATGCCCAATGCGGTAGCATTACTATTTTTTTCACTGTAGTTTCTCTCTTTTAGGTGAATAAGCGGCTGTGCTTTAAAATGGCCACTAGGGGGCGAAGCTGAGTCATCCATTAGCCTCTCTGCATTGCTGATCAAGCTCTTACTTTGAAAGTACCCGGAAGTTGTGGTGTTTGATTGTTCTGGTCTAGGTCCGTTGACTCCTGGTCCTGGTCCCGCTCCCCTCAGCCTCCGGTCGTCGCCATGGTGCAGATGATGGAGTCGCAGTGTGAATACTTCATGTATTTCCCGGCGGTGCCCATCACGGACCTGTCGGACCCGGCCCGGTACCGCAGCTTGCCCCGGCGGAGCCACCTCTACCTGGGCGAGACGGTCCGCTTCCTGCTGGTGCTGCGGTGCCGAGACGCTGCGGGGACACCGAGCGAGCAGGGCCCCGGTAAGGAGGAGGAGGGGGGGTCCGGTCCGGATCAGATCCGGTTTCCTGATGGTTCTGGAGCATTTCTGCCTCCTGTTTCTGATGTAAATATCCAGCCTTTGTTCTGTTGTCGGACCGAACCTCTGTGATGTTTTAGCAGAACCTTTAACATCAACATGGAGGGAGCATCATTTCCGTGTTCATCAGATCAGAAAACAAGGCGGTAATTAAAGCCCGGTTATTAATCAGTACCGGAACCGGTCCTCTCTGATGAGTTCCAGCTGTTTGGTTCTGATAGATCTGGAGGTTCTGGCTTGAAGCAGAATGAAACCCAGAATCACAACATGTAGTGATGATGGGGGGTGTTGGTGGGGGGGTCAGCTGACTCACCCAGGGTTTCAGTTTCTGTTCAGTTCCGCAGTAGCAGAACTAACCCTGCTGCTGCTTTGGCTCATTCCTCTCTGCATGCTCCACCTCTGACAGGGAGCAAGCTCTGCACTGGTGGTAACCTGACTGACCATCAGGATGCCCTGCAGCAGAACCCCTCAGCCTGGAGATCCAGTTAACTATTCTTAGCTGGTGGTTTCTGGGGGCTTTCTATTGAGGGAACCATAACTGACCAGAACTTCAGTTCATATGCTTCTGTTTGGATCACAGGATCATTGGATCACTGAATCATTGGATCAGCAGCTCATTGAATCATTGGATAACTGAACCATTGGATCATCGGATCACTGAATCATTGGATCACCGGATTATTGAATCATTGGATAACTGAACCATTGGATCATTGGATCATTGGATCACTGAATCATTGGATCACCGGATCATTGAATCATTGGATCACCGGATTATTGAATCATTGAATCACTGAATCATTGGATCATTAGATCACTGAATCATTGGATCATTGAATCGTTGGATCACTGAATCATTGGATCTCCGGATCATTAGATCACTGAATCATTGAATCATTGGATCTCACCATATTCTCTTGCACTGCTCATTAGTTGATCGGTTTTGTTTAAAATACAGTGAAACAGTTTGAAACCCATGGGCGGTTCTAGACAGGGGCCAACGGGGCCCAGTGCCCCTGTAGATCATGTCCTGGCCCCTATTATGGCCCCCGTGCTGAAGACATAATATTCAAAGAAATTCTAATGATAATATGCACAGGAACAGGCATGGTTACTGATTGGTCCTTTGGGTCTATTTCATTTTTTTTCCTTAAAAAAATTCTGTTTTACTAATTATCTTAAAACCATAAGGTAATAGCTTCAATTGGGGTTGAGATAGCATCCCAGTTTTCATTTGCGAAATGTTTTTCAAAAAATAAATAAATAAATAAGAAACTATAATTTTTGCAGGTAAATTTATTAGTTTTTCTTGAGTTCTAATTCAGATTTTATAAAAACAAAAACAAAAAAAACAGTAATTTTAACCTAAATTAAGTAAAAAATTATGTAAAATTCCTACATTTTGAATGTATATTAACCTAATAAGATAGAATTTTATTTAAGCCTAATTGAATAGAAATTTCACTTCATGCAGCTCTCTTAATATATTTAAATCTCTTGGTCTGTTTTTTATTTCATGCTTTTCTGTTCCCGCATGAAAACACGCTGCCCCCTACTGGCCCCCTGGTACATTTGGTCTAGAACCGCCACTGTAGAAACCTTTAAAGCTACAGTGTGTAATAATTACAGGGATATACAGTCAGAAATGTAATATATTATACATACCGTATTTTCACGACTATAAGGCACACTTAAACGTCTTTTTTTTCCCTCAAAATGTGCGGTGCGCCCTATGGTGCGGTGCGCCCTATGTGTGTTGTAACTGCGACTTTTGAGACCACCTCATTGAGGAGATGATGAAAGAGTGGCTGAATGTAAGGAGACCAGGTGTTTTTTTTTCCACCCCTCACCATAGCTGTTAATATGTAAGTCCATGCGTGCCCATCTCACAGCTGATGTGAAAAACATGGGGAAACAAAT